TTGCTGCTGGACTTAACCTTTGTAGTACTGTCTGTTTTGATGGATGCAGCACAGAAAATTTCTATATAAAGGAACATGTCTCTGTCTTGTAAGGGCTATCTGGAAACCTACATTTCGAAGGAGCACTGCCAGTTCACCTTCATATACACAATGAAATGTCATGTGTCGGGTGACTGATGAAAACGTGCATGCACACACTGGCAGATTATATGTTCTCATACACATCGCACATTATTTCAACTTTGTATGGTAAAGTATGACTTTTTAAAAAACACCAGGGCCCAGATCTGCCATTGTTGGTGATACAGAAAGGTTTTTATGGAAACCGTCAGCTGATTTTTATACCCACACAAAAGGGGGGATGCTTAGATTACCTTCAGCCTCCATCCCTAACATGGACACAAAATTTCACAGCTCCGGTGTGTGTGTCAGAGAGCTTGTACGTGTTTTGAAAAGATACAGAGAAGTCAAAACTAAATCCTCACTGGTGATGAGTCTGTCAACTGGCTCAACTATGACCTTCCTGCAAGAATCGTATTTTTCTGATGGCTAAAGGTGGGCCCAGCAGATAAATTGGTTTAAAGTTTGTAAATCTGAGGGATTTTTTGAGGAGAATCTTTGTGAAGAATTGCCTAGTAAAAGGGGCATAGTGTGCCAGGCTGGTGGGTGTTGGGTGGGGTAGAACTCAGGGGTGGAAAATGGTCAGTAAAATCAGTAAAAGTCAGTTTTTTCATCTTGGTCAGTAATTTGTCAGTTTTTTTAAAAAAATGGTCAGTAAAGTCAGTATTTCTTTGATTTTTGTGAGTGAAGTCTCTGTTTTTCTGTTTTCATTACTGCATTTTTTGGGAAACACGATGACTTCCCAGTGAGAAGACAGATTGTTCTCAGTTTAGTTATGAAGTACTTTAAGGATGTCAGGATTCGTGATGCTTCCCCACACCGAGTCACTCGTTCTTAGTCTCGGAAACAAACACCTCAGATTTTAGACGGGCCGGGTGTTTCCGCACACGCGGAGCCTCGCCCTCAGAAGGAAGATCGGCTTTTTGGGGCTTGGCCCTCTTTCTTTCTCTCTGTGCCTCAACCCGCGATCTCCTCTGAAATCGTCCCCGGTGTTGTTCGTTTCCTCCTTTTATTATTTAGCACACTGACTTATTACATTGATTCGTAACACCCTTGTTTCTCCCGAAACCTATGTTTCAATCATTCCCCTTGATACACGTGTCGTCCCTTCTCCCCTTTCAAACATCTTTTCCTCATTAACTCTGTGAGGCTCGGTGGGTATTTAGAGTCTGCCTCCCCCACCCCCTCGGTACCAAGGTAAGGCCCCTCTGCTCTTTACCCGCGCACGCCCCCCACTTGCCCTGCTGCGGCTCTGTACGAGAGATGTCCCTGCTCCTCAGATTGCTCCCACAGCTCCGGTCCTTCAGGGCTGTCAAAGAGCTCCTAAGAGTAAAAGTGATTTGGTGAAATCTTCCATAAAGTATAGAAACATAATTAACCTCTTAAAACATGAGACAATGAAAGTAGAGGTGATGGATATTGTGGGATTCAACAAAATATCTACAGAAGAGCTCTCAGGCTAGAAGCACAAAATGAAAACCACAAAGATGGAACACTTCCAACTAAAAGCCTGGATAAAGAGTAATATTTTAGCCTGGAGCCAGTGTACCTTTTCCAGTTTTATGTAAGTTTTAATGCTCTTCTATGCTTAAATAAAGGTAAATAAAGGAGCTGCGGTGGCTCAAGTGGTTAAGACGCTGAACTGCAGGCTGTGGAAGGTCGGTAGTTCAGCAGCTTGAGACCCGAGTGTGCCACATGACGGAGTGAGCTCCCATCTCTAGTTCCAGCTACTGTCAACCTAGCAGTTCGAAAGCAAGAAATTGCAAGTAGATAAATAAGTACCACTTCAGTAGGAAGGTAACAGCGTTCTGTGCGCCTTGGTGTTTAGTCATGCCGGCCACATGACCATGGAAATGTCTTCGGACAGCGCTGGCTCTTCGGCTTTGAAACGGAGATGAGCACCGCAACCCTAGAGTCGGATTCGACTGGCTTTCGAGCAAGGGAACCTTTACCTTTACCTTTCTCCCCAACGGGGACCCAAATCAGTTTATATATATCATTCTCCTCTCCATTTGTATCTTCTCAACAACCCTGTGAGGTAGATTAGGTTGAGCGACCGCTACTGTCTCTCTAGCCATCTTAGTCCTCGCTTCATCAGCCGCAACTCCTGGGTAAACCAAGGAGCCAGCCTAGAGTGAGGGCGCAGAGGGCGTCAGGGAGCGATCTCATTGATGGCTGCCAAGAGTCATCTGTGCCAATCCTCCACAAGCTCATCTAATGAGCCACCAGGGGGCATCGGATCCCGCAGGGCTATTTGAAGCCACATAGGGTCCATCTGGCTCAATGGGCAAGCTGAAATCTGCTCGCTGCCCAAACAGAGTTGGAGTGAAACATTCAGATGGGCCTTCAGGGCATGATGGTCTGACCATGGCACTGCTGAGGCAGTGACCCGGTCCACTTTGACCCCTGCCGCAAAGATCAGCTCGAGCGTGTGTCTGGTCCGGTGAGTGGAAGTCGTTACATATTGAGAGAGTCCCAGCGCCACCACGGATGACACTAGGTCCATCACCTGAGTGGAGACCACATCGTCCACATGGACACTGAAATCAGGAAGGACAATCGGTCTAGGGTGTTCCAATGTCCAGCCCGACACGGTCTCCACCAGGAATGGCAGGCTGCTGGCCGGTTCTTTTTTCATCAAAAAACCAAAGATAAAGCACAAGCAAAGACAAGTCTTACCTTACAGTAATTATGTTTTGTTGTCATAATTATTACTTTATGTTTGGTTTTTAATATGTTTTCGCTGTTTTATTATTTGCAGTATGTGATTATTTTTAAAAGGGAATCTTTTTGCCTTAAATTTTGTACAATAATGAAAACATTGTTCTTGGTTCTTAAAAAAATTCAATAAAAAGGTGTGCAATCCTTTTATCTGGGTCACATCTAACTATGGGGCTGACTATGGGGATGGTGGTGGCCAGATAATAATCATTTTTTATGAAGTCCTAGTTTTACGTTTAAAACACTAGCTTATCAGTAGGCTGATATTAAATTGTTCAGTAATTTGTCAGGTTTTTGTCAGTATTTGGTCATTTTTTAAAGAATTTTGGTCAGTAAAATCAGTATTTTTGACCCTCTGACTAGTTTCTATCCCTGAGAACTGAGAGAGCTGGAGAAATGGATCTGCTTTTTGGGGTGCTGGTCAATGTTCCCTCTAAGCTGTGAAGTCTTGTGAGCAAAAATTCTACTTTGTGAGCTGCTGGCATTAAAGTTGTGAGCAAACAATTTGGCTACTGCATAAGTTAGTTTGCTCTGGAGCCATCCTTCCTGAGCGAAGGCAAAAATGTGTGAGCCGGAGGCTGAAAAACTGTGAGCTAGCTCACACTAACTCAGCTTAGAGGGAACACTGGTGCTGGTTCAACCTGTGGGGCAACAGTGTACTGTGAAATATACTGGGTTCAGGTGTGTAGAGTGATCAGCTCATAGTTTATTAGTGATTTCAGCAAGTAGAAAATAAGACTGAAAATCCCGGACCGAAGCCAGTTATGCATGCAAAAGGTTACACCCCAAACACACACACACTCCCACGATTGGCTATTTACACTACATTGGTATTCCGTTGGTTTACTCTAGGATCCCTGTCTCCTTACTGGTCTATTCTAGGATTCCTGTCTCCCTACTGGTCCATTCTAGGATCCTAGTCAGCTATTATTATGGATCTTGAAGCTCTGACCAAATTGAGCTTCAGCCGAAGTATGGTCTGGGCTCAATACATTACACTACCGCAACTGGGGCAGTACAACTGTGGGGGAGCTCCTGACATACTGCCAGGAAACCCAGGAAATGATTAAAAAGGGCAAGCCCCAGTTTCAAAAGCAGCAGCTTAGCTGATTTAGCAATGAAGGTCAGGCAAATTTTCATCAGTCAAGTGGCTAATTTATTTGTAGTCCACCTTTCTCACTGGCACTCAAGGCAGATTATAACATTTAGAAAGGATGTTATATAAACAGGGCACAATATATACTAAACAATGTGATACGACTGGACTAGAAAAATTATTAGTTACTTTTGGGGTCTACTTTGGTTCTGGTGAGTTCCTGTAGTAAGGAATTCAAAAAGAAACTACCATTTCCCAAAGCTGAATTTAAAAGTTACTTTCTCTATTAAGTTATCTGACACATTGAGTTGGTATGTCACATGGGCTCCTCTGTGGATATTTGGCTATTGCTCACATGTATTTACAGGTATCTCATTAACTAGTTGAAAGGGACAGTCAGCTGCAAATGTTTTAGTTGGAAGACAGTTAAAAGTTAATGGGTCTACACTTAGTCCTGAGTAAACCTGGGCTGTGAAAGCAGTAGAGGAGAGTCCCACAGGTTTGGGGATCCGCACCCAAGAGCATGTCATTCCTCCAAGGAGATGAGGTTTTGCCCGTTTGCCCCTTCCCCACTTTATGCTCACAACAACAACCCCGTGAGGAGGCTAGGGTGAGAGAAGCCTAAGGCCACCCGGTGAGCTCCGTGGCTGATTGGAACCCATCATGGAGTTTTACTACTTCATCTTCCCCCAGCCCAACACTGCGGCCCTCTAAGAACAAAACCTTCCAGGGACAGTATTTATTCCGTTAACGTGCAGGGAAAATATGCAGGTCTGCCGCGGAGGACACGGCGGGTGGTGGCGATGAAGGAGGAATGGAATGTAACCCATGACAAATGGATCACCGGCTGCTGAGTGCGCCGGTTCCCCGCTCAGTTTCGGACAGTCCCGTCCCCCCCATTCAGTTTCTGTTTCTCCGCCGAGGAAAAGGAAAGTGAAACCGGAGTTTTTCCAAAACAGACTTGCGGTTCTGTTTCATCAGCGGTCCCGCCTTGCTGATGACGTTCGGAAAACAGCGCGCCTATAAAGGGCCCCGGAGCGCTGCGCAGAAAGCAAGCGGCTGATCCCTGGGTGAACAGAGAACTTCCAGCCTCGCCTCCTCCTCCATCGGTCCTGAAGATGGTAAGAACAGAAGGCAGCGACATCGCCGGGGGAAGGGGGGTTTGGTTTGGTTTGCCTTGCCTTGCCAGCTGGACGGAATCGAGTGGACTGCTGCCCCTGTCCTGGCGGCTTTCAAAGCTTCTGGAGGGTCAAAAACCGCTTTGCGCAGTGATTGTCCAGGAGCAGGGAGGGGTGTGGCGGGGGGGGAAGGAACTTTTGCTCAAGAGACCGCGGGTTCGGAGGCCAGGCGCCATGGGGAGAGTGGGGAGCAATAACTTGTGCCTTACGTCGTAAATAGTTCATTTCTGTGACGGGGAGGGGACGGTTCTCTTCTTGATGGGTGACTCTAAAATGTCAAAAAGGAAAGAAAAAACCATGGCAGCATTCTTATCCTGTGAAATGCCTGTCCTCATGACAGGGAGCGGCCTCGTTGGCCCCTCTCTGTGGGAGGTGGCATTGCCCCCCCCCCCCCCGTCTTCCCTCACCCACCGGCTCCCAAAGGCTGTGCTCCCTGAGGCACCTGGCCTCCCTCATTACAGAGCTGCCCATGCCTCCCTCTGTTGCTTCATGCGAGGGGGGGGGGACACAACAGTTCCCACCTTGTCCCCACCCCCAACCCGAGTCATACATCACACAGTAACAGGTAAGTTGTGGGTTCTCGGTTTCTGCTCATCCACTGCCTCATTAGGGTCAGGACTAGGCTCCACACCGAAAATGGGCTGCAGCCCCCCCCCCTTCTGGGCCACTTGTCAGCCTGGCAGAGCCCCACCATGGGCACTGTTTGGGGAGACACAGCCTGGTATTCCCCAATGATGCTCCCTTTGCAGTTTCAGACCAGGAAAAGGGGGGGGGCGGAGAGGTTTGAAGTCTTTTCTCCTTCTGCAGTGTGGTCCAGGTCCTAATCTGGCACCATATGTGTAGGAATTGAGGAGAACCCATGACTCAGAGGTGGTTGTCTTTCATCTGACATAAGGTAGGGACCCAGATCCCACCTGTGTATTCTGCAATGTGTGAAGAAGCAGCTACTTAAGCAACAGGCAACATCTTCTTCACAGGTACTACCCCAGGCTGCTGTAAAACCTTATATTAAAAACATTTCACCCATCCACACACCCCGAAGGTGTTTTATCAGTGTTCCTCAAATTTCCCAGCCTGCTGTTGTGAGAAGAAAGCTCAGCAGCTGTGGTCTAGTCGATTTTACTTGGGAGGAACCCCTTAGGGCCCCCCTAGTAGTGAAATGGACTAGACCATCTGGCGGCTGTCATCTTCTGAACAGTTAAATAGGCAAAGAGATACTTGTAAGTAATTGCCTGTGATGAAATGTTCTTCCTTTTCATGCCGTAGTGAACAAAATTTGGTGTGTGTGTGGAACCATTTTGGGAGTTTCTGGAAGCCTAACATGAAAACGGCACCTCATTGTTTTACATTAATATTTTTTTTACAAGGTTGTGATAGTGGTTGTGGTGGTATCTCCATGTTTTCCAAGCAGCAGCTGTAGCTATCAGGGTGTGTGTGCCAACCCCAGTCACCCCTTCCCCCTAGGGAGATGCCAGGAGCACGAGCCGGACTTTGGGTCTGGAGCCAGAGTGCCAGCGGTGGCTACCACAGGGTGGCTCCCACTTTCCAGACATTGTGGAACTGCTCCCCCCCTTCCCCAAGCCCTCTCCATGCTTCCCCTTGAAGAAAGTGAAAGGGGGGGGGCTAACCTTCCATCATTATCCTGTTCCTCACAACCACTCGGACATGAAAACCTCCCCAGTTTGAAGAAAGTGAAAGGGGGGGGGCTAACCATCCATCATTATCCTGTTCGTCACAACCACTCAGACAGGAATCTCCCCAGCAGCAACTAAGGGGAGTGGGGATACAAAAGCAGAAGGTTAACAAAATTTAAAAAGTTAAAAAAGCACCGCGGCACAGCCAAGCCAGCCAGCTCCCTGCAGGCTGTGCTGCCCTCTCCCACCACTCGCTCACTGCTGCACAGCTGCGATAGGGCGGACTTAAATTTTAAAACATTTTGGATGACACCCCCTTCACACATCACAAGTGATGTTCCACCTCGCTTTAGCAAAGTGCGGTTTTTTTAAATTGTAGCTGCAGAATAAATGCACTGGATGGTGTAAGACTGCAGGCACAGCAGGCACAGAAATCTGAGGTCAACTTTAAAGGCTTGACAGCTGGGATACTCTGCAGTAAGATGTGAGTGCAGAAAAGGCCATGGACTATTTTGGCTTTAACGCTCAGAGAATCCTAAAAATTGATGTGTGTTGGGTAGGGGCTTTTTGGCATCCTAAAACTACAGTTCCTAGGATTGAGGGCATAACCCAGTATCAGTTCATAGTATAGATATCCTATAACTGGCCATATCAAATTGTTGCTGCTGTCATGCCCACCGGAGAAGGCAGTCCCCTTCCCAATCAAGAAATGTCAAAGACTGATCTGCTCTGAATCACGTCGATTCCATAGCCACAAGAGTACAAAGTGGTTGTGTCCATCCGAGCTGCAACAGGAGGATGTTGTGTGCATCACCCCCTTCTCTGATTCCCATGCCAACTTTCCTGTCTTTTGCTGTTTCCTTTCCTCAGGCCTTGTGCTTGAATGTGAAGCTGCTGACGGGAGAGATGCATTCCCTGAACATCACTGCTAGCAGAACCATCTGGGATCTCAAAGTCCAAATTGCCCAGAAATCAGGGGTGCCACCATATCAGCAGAAACTGACCTGGCAGAGCAACCTTGATCTGCACGATGGGGCCCTGCTCTCTCAGTCTGAGCTGAAATCTGGAGATAGCATCATGATGTTGGTAAAAAATGAAGAGTCCATTACCATCTTCCTGAGGAATGACAAAGGCAGGACCAGCACGTACATGGTCATGCCTTCAGACAAGGTGGACCACTTCAAAACCCGGGTTCAGCAACAAGAGAACATCCAGGCAGAACAGTTCTGGCTGACCTATGATGGGAAGTCTTTGGAGAATAGCCACAAACTATCAGATTACAACATTGCCCCACACAGCACCATCTACTTAAATCTGCGCCTGCGTGGTGGCTGGATTGGCCAAGATGGCCTCCTGAGTTTCTCTCAGTGTTTCTCAGATTTTTGAAAATCTTCTTGATTGTAGGTTTTTGTGTGTGTGGGGGGGAGGGACGCCCACTTTCATCATTTATTCCAAAAGTGATGTGCACAGATTCTTGTATCTAGTCACGCACATATAGCCTGTTGCACACAAATATCTGTGACCTGGAAGTAGCCATTCCAACCGTGCCATGAGAAGAGGGTCGGAGGCTCTCTGGCCTACTCCTAAATTCTTGCTCATGGAGGCACCTTAGAAACTGTTTCTTCTTTCTAAGGCTGAAATTAACTTAAACTTCTTGCCAGTATTGTCTCTCTTGGGGGGCCTGAAGCAGAAGATGGGTCGTGGTGGTGCCACTTCAGCAACTTTCTTTCTGTTCACTGGGCACCAGCTGGTTCCAGCTTACTTTCATCCTTCTCTCCTTTCCGAGGGGTGACAGCCTGGCAATCAGGTGCAGATCAGTGAAGGGCTGTAGCCAGGACCACCCAGTGCACCAGGGCTTGGCTGAGGAAGGACACGTCTGCCTCGGAATACTGTCTGTTCCTGCAACTTTGCGCTGTTCCAAGTGTGCCTTCGAGTAAGGCCCACCCCACAGTGTGCAAACCACTGCCTAGGAGAAACTCACCTTTTCTAAAAGACAACAACAAAAAACGTGTTAGTATTGAATTTTTCTCATGCAAGCCAAACAAGATGGTTTAAACGTCTTCCCCGCCCCCCTGTTTAGTCCTATTTAAGTGCTTCAGTATTTTAACTCTGTTGATGCTTTCCTTGTGGTGTTTGCTCCATTCCTGTGTTCTGTTCAAGCTACCCTTAGCAGTTGGTATTTTAATAAAGATGTTAAAAACTCACAAAAAGGCTGTGTTTACCTTCCTGTTTACACATATTTCTGAGATTTCTACTAGTTTGCTGCCTCATCATTCAACCGTGAGTCATTTTCTGGGTAATCAGGTTGTTGGATAGCTGGCAAGCTTACTACTATTGGCTGTGTCCTGAGAACTCTGTCCTAAAATCTCCTTTTTGCACACCGGCTGACTGGCACCTGCTGGCTGTTGCCCACTTGCTTGGCACTGCCCAGAGCCTGGGCCTTTTCGCACTGTGCCTCCTGCCCTGTGGAGTGTGCTCCCTGGAGAGGATGGAAGAGCCCCCCCCCTCACAGGAGATCATCAGAAGGCACTGCAAGGCCAGGACTTTGATGGGTTATGAACAACAAGCATCTTTTGGGTGGGTGGGGAGAGGATCGGTTTTGTTTTAAAATTCTGCTTGAATTTAATTTGTAATTTTTTTTTGTATGTCACCTTAAGCCAAAAGGAAAGGTGGGGGATAAAAATATTTTAATTAATAGGATCTGTTTACTGCTCTTACCCCTACGGCTTGTTCTCTAATCCCTATTTCCGAGGGTTGCCAGCCACCAGGTGTGGCTTGGAGATCGTCTGGAATGACAGCGGATGCCCAGACTACAGAGATCTGTTCCCCTGGAGAAAATGGCACTGCTGGGGGGGGGGGTAGATTGTATGGGAACACATCCCTGTTGAAGCCCCTCCCCTCCCTGGGCTCTACCTCCAGATCTCCAGGAATTTCCCAGCCCAGTGTTGTCAACCCTGTCTTTCCTTCCAGTCAGGCTGGCTTCTGGAATTGGGGGACCTGGAGGTAGAAGCCCTGGGGGAGAGGAAAGATTCAGCCCCCCCCCTCAATGCCTCACTTGGATAATTTCAGTTGCACCCCACCTTTTGCCTTACGTGTGCACGGGGCAGATTTGCATTTCAAGAACCAGGCCTGCCACTCTCAGCTTTAGTTTGGGCCTTGGCTGCAGAAGGCAGAGGCGCCCTGCCAGAAATCAAGTTGCTAGTCCAAGCTAGCAGGTCTTACACTATTCTGCAAAACTGGGGGGTGGGGCAGGCCATAGGTTAACTGCGTTTTTGGATATTCTACAGAACAGCAAAGTGCCACCTCTATGCAGATGACACCCAGTTCTCTTCCTCTCTAACAACTGAGCTGGGTGGGTCTGTGGAAGCCCTGAAGAGGAATCTGGAAAAGGTAATGAGAGAGATGAGGGCCAATAACCTGAAGCTTAATCCCTAGAAGACTCTGATGCTATTGGGCAATGAAAAAGCCACTTGAGTGCTGAGGGATCAGCTTGTCCTGGAGGGAGCTGTGCTCTCTTGAAGGGGCAGGTTCGTAGATTGGGGGTGCTGCTGTATCCTGGCTTATAAACAATGAGGAAAGCAACCGTGATGTAGTATTATGAAAATATATTTAGACTGCAGTTTTGCAGTGAGTGGTGTTTCTTCAACAAGTAATAAAGATGTATGCATACACACATTACAGAATTTGCATATACCCCCGTTTCACATAACAGCTTTTTCTTAGTGTGCTGCATAAGTAACATTAATTTAGGTAAAGGTAAAGGTTCCCTTGCTCGAAAGCCAGTCAAATCCGACTCTAGGGTTGCGGTGCTACAGGTTCTCAAATTAACACACACAACACACAACATTCTTCCCACTTCAATGTTTCATTAGTTTCATTAGTTTACACGTCAACAATTCTAATCTGTGAATTAACACACAACATTCTTCCCACTTCAATGTTTCATTGAAGTGGGAAGAATGTTGTGTGTTAATTCACAGATTAGAATTGTTGACGTGTAAACTAATGGTACTCACGCAGCACACTTAGAAAAAGCTGTTATGTGAAACGGTATTCTATGCAATTCCCGTTGTCTGTATGCGTATATTTTTACAATGTGATGAAGAAATACGATTCACTACAGTAGTCTAAATATATTTTCATAAAATAACACCACGGTTGTTTTCTTCATTGTTTGCATCCTTCCCCTGATCTCTCTGTTGTTTCTACATGTATCCTGGCTTATAGCTGGAGGCTCAGGTCTCCTCTCTCTCTGGCACATTAGCGCCTTTCAGCAACTTTGGCTGATGCATCAGCTAACAGGCACTCATCGAAAACTGTGACTTGAACGCAGCGATCTGTTTTTCTGATCACATCCAGGTTAGATTACTGCAATGCACTTTAGGTGCGGCCGCCTTTGAAGGCTGTTTGGAAACTTCATATGGTTCAGAACGTTGCCAAGGGCTGGATACAGGGATCGTGTCGTGCCTGCGCTGAAATGCCTCTACTGGCTCGGCAGAGGCTCGCCCCCCCACCCCCCACCCCTCGCCTTGCCGCTTCTCTGCTGAAAAAAGCCCCCTGAAGCTGCTATCGCGCTGCCGCAGCAACCACCACCCCAATCTGGTGACTGCACCCTCTTCCAGGGGAGTCGGCCCATCGAACTTGAGCCCGAGAACGAAACTCCTCCGTGGTCCGGGAAACGAAAGTCAGGCGCGGACCTGAGTCAAGCCGCGCTCAGTCCTCGTCCGGCAGTCGGCGCCCGCGATGTTCCCTGCGATGGAGGCGCTCTACGAGACGGACGCCCGGCGGCTGGACAAGTTCATCTTCGACCACCTCCAGCCCGACCAGGAGTTCTTGAACCGCGTGAGCGACGCCATCCGCATCATCTGCGAGTTCCTGCGGGAGAACTGCTTCCGAGACGCGCCCCAGTCCCGGGTGCTGAAGGTGGTCAAGGTCGGTGCGGGAGTCCTGGAGTTGGCGGGGGGGGGTGTGTGTGCCCCTTTCATGGTCTGTTGACACTTTTATTACACCTTTCCACTGCACACTGGGAGCCGGGTGCCAGGCCATTCGATTCTGAAGGGCCCCCAAGGTGGCCTAGGAAGAAGAAGACAATGCAACTACTCTGGTGATGCTTCCTTCCCCTCTGACAAGCCTTCTGCACCCAAACCCCAATGCCCATTTCGAGTTGTTCCCAGCCCAGTTCATCCAGCCTCCCACCCTGACCTGTGGCAATGGGGTGGTCAGCTGCCTGCCCAGCAGCAGTGCTCTTCAGTCCCCCCTTGTAGGACTGCTGGTCTTCTCATTGAAGGGGAATCAGGCCTACAGAATACGAGGCTCCTGCTCTGAGCCTCGTCACCCAAAGTCTTTTTGGCAGCTCAGTGGAGGAAACGAATTTGACTACACCTTGTAACATTACTGGACTGTTACCATTCTTTGGGATATTAAGTGTCCATGGGTGGTTAAAGACCGTGTCAGACTACGATCTGCGAGGCCCAGGTTGGAATCCCCACTCTGCCCTGGAAGCTTGTTGGGTGACCCTGGGCCAATCACAGACTCTCAGCCTAGCCTACCTCACAGGGTTGGTGTGAGGATAATCTGGAGGAGAGCAATAGAAGCTCCTTCGGGTCCACACTGGGGAGAAAGGTGGGACATAATGCAGTTAATTAAATACTACAGACATGAGGAAAGCCCTCCCTCATCCTATGTAGACTCATGGTAGGCAATTCTCCTTCCCAGGGAGGCTCATCGGGGAAAGGCACTGCTCTGAAAGGGGTTTCGGATGCCGATCTTGTGGTGTTTCTCAGCACCTTCAAGACATACAAGGACCAGGAACTAAACCGGAGGGAGATCATCCAGGAGATTCAGAAGAGGCTGGAAGAATTCAGGAACAAACAACAAAAGAATATTGATGTAATTTTTGAGCCAACCAAGTGGGAGAACCCACGTGTGCTCAGCTTCAAGCTCCGCTCTTATGCTGACAATGATTCCATTGAGTTCGATGTGCTGCCAGCCTTCGATGCTCTTGGTGCGTACGCTTGCATGAGGGATTGGGTCTCCTTCCCGCCTGGAACTGAGGGTGGTGGTGGCAACGTCTGAGTCAGACCCCCCCCCCCCCACAAGGAGTCAACAGGAGTTTTAGTGCTAAAGGCACTGCTCTTCATTCTTTCTCTCATTTGTCCTTTAATCTTCTTTTTACACTAGAGTGCTACGGCATCAACTACAATAGCTGAACAGCCTAATCAATACCTCTCTGAAAGGCCTGCAGGGTGGGAAGGTCATTAACTACCTCCTTGATCAGAATTTGAGATAAGTTTGGCTTGGAGGCACAGCTGGATTTATGCACAAGGGAAGTAGTAAACTATGGAGTAGAGCCTCAGATTATGAGGGGCTAATAAATACAATAACATCCCACCCTAACACTTGCCAGTTTGGTGTAGTGGTTAAGTGTGCGAACTCTAATCTGGGACTCTAATCTGGGAGAACTGGGTTTGAGTCCCCACTCC